CTCTGGGGTGGAACCTGCGCCCCTCACCTTCTGCGCCTGGAGGAAGGGGAGCCAGTGCTTCTCCATCAGCTCAGCCCTGTACCTCTTGGTGAAGTATCCGATGTAGGACACAAAGGCAGAGACCAGCAGCACGTCCCCGCACAGCGTCTTCTCCTGCACTTTGAGATCCTCCACGGACTCAGCCCAGCGCACGTTCTCGGACGCCAGGCCCCCAACGAGCCTAGGGGTAGGAGGGGATGGTGCTGGTGCTGTGGTGCTGGTGCTGTGACCAGGCCAGGGGTGGGTGGCAACTCAGCCATGGTGACCTGGGGCCTTGTCACCAAACATCTCCATGGCTGCCTCCCCCCATGAATGTCTGGCTCAATTAATCTCAGAATTTTTTAATCTGGGGAGGGTATGGGGGGCTCTGCTGCTCCCATGCCCCTGGTGTCAGGGCCACCAGGCAATGCCAGGGAGCAGCAGCTTGCCTTGGTGCTTCAGAGCCCATGTTTGCATGGTACCTGTTTGCCAAGTTGATGACTTTGCTGGTTTCATCAGCCTCCTGCTGGCATTTGATCTTCTCTGCTGTGGCTTTCTCAAACTGAGCAGTGAGAGTCGCCAGATTTTGATTCAGGGCCTTTGAAAGAGAACAGCCCCAGAGCTATTCCCTGCCCAGATGGGAAGCTCCATGGTCCCAGAACTCTGTAGCATCTCCAGCCCAGCGCAGTGTTTGGGCCGGGCTCTGGGTACACGGAGTTCATTTGCTCCTTTGGTGGCTGGGGGCTGTGGGGACGCACACTTACCACAATTTTGCTCTTGATTTTACTCAGCCTTGCCTGCGCCTCTGCCAGCTCAGCATCAGCATCGGCCACTGCCTGTCTCTTGGGCTTCACTATGCAGTGCACCTCGTAGAAGCGCACCATGTTGAGGCACCAGGAGCACAGCCCTGCTGCGGCCGTGGACTTGGACTTGATGAACTCGGGATTAAAGCTGGGGTCATTCCGGTAGGGCCTGGAGCAGGACGGGAGGACAGCCGTGCTGTGGAGCTGCTGGCACCTGTCCCTCTCCTCCCCGCGCTTGGGCTGCCTCTGGGTGGCAGCGTGGCAGAGCAGGGCCAGCGCCTGCATCCCCTCCTGTCCCCAAACCCTCTGGGTGGCAGCGGGGCAGAGCAGGGCCAGCGCCTGCATCCCCTCCTGTCCCCAAACCCTGCTGAGCTCTGCGTCCCCCTGGCCTGCCTGCCAGGGCAGCTGGTGGCAGGGGCTGTGAAGGGGCAGGAACCAGCCATGGACTCACTCAAATGCCTTGAGACAGGGCTCAGGGATGTTTTCCCCATCAAAGTTTTTTAAGCTTGCAAGGAAGGTGTCTGCTTTTCCTATCTTGACTTTTCCTGCTGTCCAGCTCTTGTCCTTCGGAATCTTGCCGTTTTCAGCTGTCAGGATCAGCACAGCTGCCATCACGTTCACTACCTCTGGCGGTGGGGACCCAAAGGACTTCAGCTCTGTCAGGTTGTACTGGGGAGGGACCACAGGGCCCTGAGCATCCTCCTGGGCAGGGCTGCCGGCCCTGCTGGGCACCTGCCTCCCCTGAGAGCTCTCCCACCTTGTTGAGCGTGTCGAGCGCCTCGCGGGCGGCCGAGAGCACCACCTCTGCTTCTGCCAGGTCGCTCGCGCAGGCTCGCTGCTTCTCAGCCACCATCTGGGGAGGGAGGACGTGGCATGGGGTAAGTGGCTGTAAGCACAGAGCTCACGCTGCCCTGTCCCACGCTGGACACCTCTCAGCACTTCGCACCTTGTTGATGGCCTCGACCTTCAGCTCCTCCTCATCAGCAATGGCTTTCTCCTTGCTGACCTTCTCCGTCTCAACGCCCACCACGTGGATCAGTTTGTCTGTGTCCTCATTCTTCTGCTTCAGCTCCACCTCCTGGACTGCCAGCATGGCTTTCAGGTCATCCACCTAAATGAGGGAAGGAAACAGAGCAGATAAAAGGGCTGATCCTGCCAAGCCCTGCCTGGTGGAGCAGCAGTGTCTCGTTATGGGGCTTGGGGACCTCACAGACACTGTGACCATCCTGCAGGGATGTGCCTGCTCTCTCCCCCTGTGCCAGACCCAGAACAGGCATGATGCACAGGAGGGGCTGTGGGCAGGCACCTGTGATGCTGTGCTCCGCAGCTTCATCAGCCCCTTCTCCAGCCTGTCGATGCTGCTGGAAAGGTTATTCCTTTTATCTGCCAGCAGGTTCTGGTAGAGCTTTATCTGCTCCAGGAAGGTCTTTGGCGTGGTGTAGTTATAGCGTCTCTCCACGGTCAGGTAGATCTTGGACATCTCCTTTGAGCTTGTGTGGACGAAGGACATGAACTCGCTGATGGAGGCCTTGACCTCTGGCTGCACAGGGAGCACAGACAGGGAGCTGCTGCAGCAGCTGGCTGTGGTGTGCAGGCTGCACTGAGCCCTCCTGCAAGGCTGGCTCTGTGTGCAGCCACAGAGGCCACAGCAAAGCGACCCCTTTCATCAGCAGCACAACGCAGAGCTGAGACAGAGCTGGTGGTGAAGGCACTGGTGCTGCTTCCCATGCCCAGCTCTGTCCCTGATGTCCCTGTGTGGGAGCAGCTGCTGTTGCCTGTGCAGGTGTTTTAAGGACAGAATGGGAAGGGAGGGCTCATCCTCACCAGCACAGCACAGGCTGCAGGCTCTGATGCTGGAACCAGCAGTAAACTAATCCCAGGACCTATTCCCAGCTTGCTGTTCCCAGCCCTCTGGGTCATGCCAGGCCCCATCCCTGGGCGCACTAAAGGCAGGGAGCAGCAGAGGAGCAGCTCACTGCCCCGTGCAGCTGTGCTGGGTCCCAGCTCACCTCGATGTCCGGGGTTTCCTCCAGGAAGCGGCTGCTGACGGACACGAGCGCGTCCTCGGGCCACTCGTGGAACCAGTCGATGGCCGTGCAGTTGACCACAGCTGGGAACCTCCTGGCCCGCACACGCAGGGTGGAGCCCACGGGTGAGAAGCAGAGGACGACCTGGGGCAGAGCAGCAGTGCCTGAGGGTGGGGCAGCGTCTCTGGGGCTCCACAGGACTGCAGGGATCCTGCTGCAGGCCTGAGCTTTGCTGCCTTCCCATTGACTCCCACCAGGGCTGGAACTGGGTTCCTTTGCTGCCTGCAGTCAGCAGCTGAGCTCGGGGCTCCTGTGGGTGTCCCTGGGAGTGCCCAGCATGGTCTGTGGCTGTGGAAGCCACTGATCTGCTCTGCCCGCAGGGAGGTCAATACAGGGCTGTTCTGCCCTGTGCCTCTGGGGCTGGGGGCACCTGGGGAGTCTCTGACAACACCTTTTGCCTAAACCCACCATCCTGGGATGAAACCTCAGTGTTCTGTGGCCTGTTGCAAAGAGGTTTTGGATGGGGTAAATCAGGGCACAGAGAAATCAACCTGGAGAGCAAACACCCACCTTTAACTGGCGCCTGACTTTATCTATAAATAATTTCCAGCAGTTTTCCTTTGTATCCTCCAATCCAAGCGACTTCACTTGAGGCCTCATGGACCCGATGATGGTTTCCATGTCATTATCCTGAAAGAGGCCTGGCACCTCCCCGGACGCCAAGAAATCATTGATCACAACCAGGAATGATTCTTCAGCCACCTGGGAGTCTGTCATCAGGAACACACTGGGGATGTTCTTCACAGCTGCTTTCATGTACTGGGAGGCAAGGTCCAGCTGGGACAGAGAGAAACGGTCACCCCCCAGTGCAACCCCCATGAGGTGTTCTCCAAAGTGACCAGTTTGGAGCAGCCCTGGGCTGCCCTGGCGCTGCAAGGGAGCCTTTGGGAAGGGAGCCTTTGGGAAGGGAGCCTGTGGGAAGGAGCTGGTGCCAGGTGCTCTGCCCAGGCACAGGTGCAGCACCAGGGCTGCCCACACCACCACCCCCAGTGTCACCAGCAGCCCCTGCCCATGCCTGGCTGAGGGAGCACTGCGGCCCCTTGGGGCAGGACTCAGGGGTGTCACCTGTGGATCCTCGTGTGCAAACTCAGTGTCACAAGGAGAGCAGAGCCTGTGAGCCCCCCAGGCACTCTCACTGCCGGTGCAGGACCCAACCCCAGGCAGGTTGCACTGCGCCAGGGCCCAAGGCTGCTCCTACCTTCAGGTCTGGGATGCCGTAGCCTTTCCGCAGCGTGATCTGGAACACGCTCAGGTTGCTGATGTGAGCTGCCAGCCGAGCCAGGCTCTGCTTCCCACTGCCTCCCACCCCCACCAGCAGTGCATTGCCCCGAGGGGACTCCAAGATCCGGCTAATTCTGCAAATGTGAGACACTGCGTCTTCAAAGAGCACCTGAAGAGAACAGGAGGGGAAGGTTTGGTGCTCTGGATCAGGGCAGAAAGAGCAGTGAATGCCCCATAATGCAGCAACCCAACCAAGCAGTACAATGCTGCAGTCCCACATTTCCAGGCAGACCTGCCTGACACAGGCACTCACCAGATTCATCGCTGCATTCACCTCATTGTAGCTGTCCAGGGCTTCCCCGAGCAGGGCACTCAGGGATGCCCAGCTTGTCACTGGCATGTACTTGAACTCATCCATGCCCTGGGCAAAGTGGCAGTAGATGTTGGGCTTGGCGAACATCAGCTCCTCATTGATCTCCTGCGAGAGGTAATTCCAGCTGTGGGGCTCAGCTGTGGGGCACCTGGGCTGGAGCACCTGACTTTTCAGCACAACTCACCTGAAAGGAGGCTTTGCTGATGTCAGCCATCACCTTCTTGAAGCTGTACTGATCGTCTTCATCGACAAGCTTGTCTCCATACACCCTCTCTGCTTCGTGGAGCCAGAGACGCACCAAGTCCACGGGGGTTTTCAGGCAGTCAGGCGTGGAGAACAGCAGCCCCTGACAAACAAATCCCGCAGCCCTTAGGGTCATTTTAGTGCTGCTCAGAGCTGATTGCAAAGGTTTGCTCTGGGGAGAGGCCAAGGCCCTTTTCAGGGACATGGTATGCTGCAAGGATGTGGGATCAGGAAAGGGAGGAACAAGGGTGATTTAGAAGAAACAGCTCTCCCATACCTGGAATATATTGGAGAGGTCCCGCAGGTTGAAGATGTAGTGGAACTTGATGGCTGTTGGCAGGAAGTTGGAGGCAACCTTCTGGTGCAGGGCTGTTGGCAGGACAGGGCGGTGAGCAGGTCCCCAGAGACCCCCGAGCATTCCCCAGGGGCCCGTCCCACCCCGGCGGGGCAAAGGCTCACCCAGCGCTGCTGCCACCAGCTTGGGCTGCATCTTCTGCACGGGCATGGCCATGTTGTGGCGGGCCAGGTGCTGCTCCAGGATGGTGCCGTACACGGTGATCAGAGCCTCGCGGCTGGGGAAGCACACGGCCAGCACGCAGAAGTGGCGCTGCACAAAGGGCACAAATGCACGTGGGCACTTGGTCCCACAGGGGCTGGTGCACTGCAGGGTGCCCTGCCTCGTTCCACCCTCTGCCCACCTGCAGCCGTGGGTCGATGGTGAAGGAGCCCGCGGTCGGGTTCATGCAGGCCACGTACTGGCAGTTGCGAATGTCCTTCAGGGTCAGCTTGTTCCTGTCATACCTGTGTGGGGACCAGCACCGTGACGCTTTCCCTGGGCATGGGCACAGGTTCCCCCTGTCGTGCCGTGCCCCTCCAGCACCCACCAGTGCCCGTGGTCCAGGTGCTGCCGCATCAGCGTGTGTGGTGCCACCGTGCCGTACTTGTCCACCTCTGGCATGTTCATGTCGTCGATGAAGTAGATCAGCCTTTTGGTGCCAGGTGGGCCAAAAACCCTCCCTGATTTCTTCTCCAGGGGTTTCTCAAGGACGGCTGCAGTGAGAGGAGTGGGTGGGTGGGGGTCAGCACTGCAGGACCCTGCAGCACAGCCCAGTGTGGGGGCAGCTGCTGGCTCTGCGAGCCTTACCCTGCAGCATGGCCGAGGTTGTGTAGAAGTTGAGGGGCACAGACTGCACCAGGTATTCGTCTGTGCCGAGAGCTTCCAGCTTGTCCCACATCAGGACTGACTTCCCCGTCCCTGCGTTCCCCACCAGCATCACCGGCCGCTGCTTCTCCATCAGCAGGTCCATGAAGTAGCGGAGGCGAATGGTCTCTGTGGTGTGCACCACAGCAGCCTGGGGAGAGGAGAGGCTCTGTCAGCCCCTGCACTGCCCTGGCACTGGCAGAGGCAGGATCCTCGGTGGGGGCAGCGTGCCAGAGCCCTGCACAGCGCTCCTGGCAGCTCCAACAGACCCTGCTCTCTGCAGACAAACCTGGCCCCTCTCTAAAGCAACACCTCTGGTGTGCTCTGTCGTTCTAAAGACTTGCTGACCAAAACCTAGTTATTACACAGAGCAACGTGAACAGCTCCTGAAACCACCACACAGCCACAGCTCCTCACCCTTTTCCCTGACAGCTTAGATAAAATCTGCAAGATGCCACTGCAGGAAACAACAAATGAAGTGCTAAAGGACAGTTTGCACTCAGGCAATAGTCACAGCTATTTTGTGAGACTCTCTGAAGCTGCAGGTTAATCTGAAGGTAAAGGAGACATGGAACTCACAGCCCTTGCCTGAGGCTTCTGTGGGGTAAAGAGAACCACTGGAAGCCATTGGGTTTCATGGGTGCTACCAGTCTGAATCCTGATGATGCTCCACACATTACTGAGGGCAAGATTGTGGAGTGACAGTCAAATAAACCAGATAAACACAGTGCTCGTGGGAAATACCTGTAAGGGGACGTCGGGGTCGAGCTCGAACGCTGGCACTCTTTCATCCCAGAGATTGAATGTCTTTGTGTTTGGATGAATGTAATAGTCAAAAACTGTCCCCTGACTAGGAAACTTGATGGCTTTAAATTCTGTCAGCCACCACTTGCTGAACTGCTGACGGTGATCCACCAGCTGGAGGACAAAACAGAGACACTCAGAGCCCAGCCACAGGATGGGATGCAGAGAAGGGTGGCAGTGCTGGGCAGGCCCTTGGCTGTACCTGGTCCTGGAACAAGGCCCCACCAAAGGCCCAGATGCAGGCAAAGACGAAGAAGAGCTCGTATTGCTCCCGGGGTGAGTCTGGTGGGACATTCTGGGGTGTCAGAAAACATTCCAGCAGAGACAGAACTGTCTGTATGGCCGTGACATCAGGAACAGGGGTGATTGTCTTGAACTCAGACTTGAGCTTCTCCAGGCATGGTGGCAGGTACTTGTCAAAGAGGATCGTCAGAGCAGCCTTCTCAGACTTCTCTGTCCTTGTCTCAATCCAGCTGGCCACAATGCTGTGGGAGAGACAAACAGGGCTGCAGCAACTATCCCATCCCATCCCATCCCATCCCATCCCATCCCATCCCATCCCATCCCATCCCA